AAAAACTTAGGTGCTCTTGCTGCTTCCCGTCTTCATTGAGTGATTCAACAAATACAGGTAATGAAGGCGTACTGCGCTGACAAGCAGTGTTCTAAGAACTAGAGGCCAAGAACGTAAAAATTCCTCACCTAGGCGGAGCAAATACCTATTGGGTTAGTTGCCCGGCATCCTACACTGTTTTGTGACCCCCATGATCTACTGTCAGAGCTAACTGGTCATTAACTAGACTTGATCTTCTCTCCAAACAGAATATATGTATAACACTTGGCAATAGTAACCAGGTCAGCTGCAGCCCCATAAATCTAACTTTAATATATTGAGATCTCCAAAACTGCAAACAGCCGGGGCATCTGAGGGTCTTCTCCACATAACTGTTAAAGAACTGTGAGGGCTGGAGCAATGGTACAGCAGTTAGTAGCACTTGTTGCTCTTGCAGAGGATTCGGGTTCTATTATCAGAACCCACATGATGGTTCACAACCGTCTATACTTCCGGTTCCAAGGAATCCATCAATACATGCAGGCAAAGCACCCAAAGTTTTTAAGAAACAAAGGACTATGTGCTCTTGTAAGTGCATATTAACTACCAAGTTTCTCAGTAACTGCCCATAGAAGTTAATGGTGGTTTTTATAACTTGGAATTTCAATTTTATAATTCCACTGATAATGTGATGAATCTTTGAGGTTTCTTGATTTCTTTATTTCTAGCATGGAGCCATATTTTTTTCATATTTAATTTTTTTATTAATCACAATTATTTTTCCAAGGTTTCCAAATAAATGGGGTTAAGGTGTTAAAATACTGATCAGAGAATTCTTAGGTTGTTTCTCAAGAAAAATACAGCACAGTTGAAGACCATATTTTTTGTACAATATAGTATTCTGTACCCCGTTAGCATTCAGACGGGCAGTGACTTTTTTAAAAAAGAGCCTGCTTCGATGTTTTTAATTGAATTAATTGTAAAATGTCTATGCCCTACATTCCTTTTTAAAATGGAGATTAGAACACCACTTGCCCAATTATGTTTCTTGATCTAGGTGAAAATTATGTGTTCTTATTCTCAATTTTTGTATATTTTTATTACTTTTTATTTATTTTGTATGCATGTATGTGTGTGGATGTACTCATGCCATGGTATATTTGTAGAGGTCAGAAGACAACATCTGGGAGTCAGTTCTCTCCTTTCACCATGTGGGCCCTAAAGACACAAAACTTGGGTGGGCAAGCTTGAGAGCAGGTGCGTCCTACCAGTTGAAACATCTCGTAGGCCCCTTGTTTTTTTCTAATACTTCACTTTGTAATACCCCTCTCCCTTGTCCATTTAGTGTATGTAAAATTCAAACTTTAAGAAAAAAAAAAGAAGAAGCCCTAAATAGTATACAGGTAGCCAGGTGTGGTGATAGCACACACTCAATCCAGCGATTCTTACAGGATTGAGGTTACACAGTGATCACCACCTGACAGCCCATGAAGACTGTCTCAAAATACCTAAGCTGCTTTAAAGGTGGAATGAAACAGTAATTTGGAACAGTACCCATTATAGGTGCTGAACATAGAGCAAGGAGTTAGCAAGTGAATTTTGTTTAGAAACATCTGCAGAAAGCACTGTTATAGCTGAAAGATTCCGGTGTCACTGGAAACATCCACAGGAGAATAACAACCTTTGGAATTAATATTATTCAGTGACCTAAGACTCCCACTTGATGGTGTGAATCTTCACAGGGAGAATGTAGATCATGTGTAGCTTTGCTTATTCCTGGTTGTTTTTGTCCTGCTAGATATCTCCATCCCTGAAAGGTCCAAGCTTAAGTTTGTTGAAAGGGTCCCACTTGTACCAAAAGTAAGAAGAGAACCTAAAAATTTGAAGGACATACGAGGACCTTCAACTGAAGCCACTGAATTCACAGAAGGCAATTTTGCAGTTTTGGTGAGTGATAAAAGAAATTAACAAAATTTCCTACTCTTTGAGTTGAAGTCTCTTCCTCCAGGTTTATTAGAACTGCCACACCTAGATGCTATAGTCCAGTTACTCTTAAATAGATGTAGATGGAGGCTACTGGGTAGCCAAGTAAACATGAGTTATATGCCTTTCTTCAGTGTAGGACTGAAAACAGCAGTCCTCTACTGGATGCTTGAGAGTGTGGATAGCATGGAATTCTGTATAGAAGCCCTGTGATACTGTCACAGTGGATCCGATAACCTAGTGGCTTCTAAGAACCCCACAGGCAGGTAGCCTGTACAACAATTATACACTGAACAGATAGGTGATTCATATCTGGGTGAAATTGTGTAGAACAAGATATTAGTTTTTATCTTGCTATTCCGAAAAGTGTTTAGTTTAAAATTATAAATGTTTATGCCAGGATCTCCACTTACTATTTCAGATGACTTGAAACTATAGAGGGGGTGAGGAAGGCTACTGTGAAAGCAGGGAACTTTCACAGTTCCCTGCTTTGTTTGCTGCCTTGTTTGCCCAGTTACAACGAGATCTTTTTAAACTTTTGGTAAAAGTGAAATATTCCTGGTTAAGGATTAGAACAGCTGCTTCACTACTTGTCGAGTGGTTTCTGTAAAAATTAATGTCAGTTGCCACTCAAGTGGATATGAGGCAACCAGAGTGGTAGCTGTGATGGCCTGCATGGCACTGCTGCTGATCTCTCAGAACCTTGTGTCCACTCTGCATCCCTCCTGCACCCCTGCAAACACTGGCTTCCACACAAACTCACCAAGCCCTTTGCTGTGTCAGGGCATTACATCAATGTTTCTCTGTCTGGGACTTTGCTCTTCTCTCTTGACTAGTTATTAGGATTCTATCCTCAGCTTAAGTGTCATATCTGCAAAAAGACCTCCCTCTCCCTGAGAGTGACTCTGCCCTTGCTGTCCTTTATTACTGGCCCCAAGGTGTTTCCTCCATATTACTAGTTAGAACTTAGGTTTATTTTCATGTGTATCATTAAAGCCAGTTACTGTCAAAGAGGAGGCATAATAGTCTCCATAACAGATTTCTAAATCCCCTTGTATTCTAATTTTCCTATTCATTTTTAGGCACTGGGAGGTGGTTACCTCCACTGGGGTCATTTTGAAATGATGCGCCTGACAATCAACCGCTCTATGGATCCCAAGAACATGTTTGCCAAGTGGCGAGTACCGGCCCCTTTCAAGCCCGTCACTCGAAAAGGTGTCGGGCAGCGCATGGGGGGCGGTAAAGGTGCCATTGATCACTACGTGACACCTGTGAAGACTGGCACTCTCATAGTAGAGTTAGGTGGACGCTGTGAATTTAAAGAGGTACAGGGTTTCCTGGACCTAGTTGCCCACAAACTGCCCTTTCCAGCAAAGGCTGTAAGCCGTGAGACTCTAGAAAAGATGCGCCAAAATCAAAAAGAAAGAGAAAATAACAACCAAAATCCCTGGACCTTTGAGCGCATAGCCACGGCCAACATGCTTGGCATACGGAAATTCCTGAGCCCATATGACTTGACACAGAAAGGGCAGTATTGGGGCAAATTCTTCCTGCCTAAGCGTGTGTAGTCAAAGCGCAGGAACCCACGTGCACACAGACCCTTGAGACTGAGTCTGCATCTTCACTGTCTTTAGGATCTTTGGTGGTTCTTGGACCATAGCTAAGCACATGAGTAAATGACTTCTGAAAAGTTATGTCATCTGATTGTTCCTAATTAAACTCTGAGTGTAACCTCAAGGTACAACTTCTCATTGGTCAGTTTCAGTTGCTCAAAAGATTAAGAATGATTTGGCATAGCCAGCTGTGGTGGAGCATGTCATTAATCCCAGCACTCAGGAGTCAAAGGCAGGCAGATCTCAATTAAGTTCAAGGCCAGCCATGGCTACAAGCAAGATCGTGTCACAAAAAAAGGAGGAGGGGGGGCTGGTAGAACTCTTAGTTCCTGCCTTGTACCATACATATCTCCAGGGCTGAAACTTGTTTTTGCATCTCACAGCTGGAATCTTAAATGTGCACACTGCCTTGTTTATGACATTTTGCTGACTGCAAATGCATTTTTTTCGAATAAGGATAAAAATGACAGTACCTAGATTAGTAGGTTCAACACATATTTATTAACACCCAGCTGCCCATCTTCTTGTCAGTTTCAGAAGGGGAAACATGAAATATGACAAGGAATGTACCATTTAGCAAAAGAACTGATAACAAAAGTTGAAACCTTTTGTGCTTCCTAGGTCTGAAACTATCTAAGGAAGGGCATTTTGGCTCTCTGTGTCCCTTCAGCATCTAAGGTATGTGGAGCGCACAAATTACTGCTGGATAAATGAGGGTCCCGAGTGATGCAAACTTCATGGTTCGAGCTCCATTTGTCCGTACAAGATTAGTCTTTTGCTGAGCTAGCCAGTATCCCCTATTCAAACTAAAGGAAACATGAGTTGATAGTAGTACTAAACCACTTCTTTTGAAGGTGGATGCACAAGTTACTGCTGGATAAATGAGGGTCCCGAGTGATGCAAACTTCATGGTTCCAGCTCCATTTGTCCATACAAGATTAGTCTTTTGCTGAGCTAGCCAGTATCCCCTATTCAACTTAAGGAAACATGAGTTGATAGTAGTACTAAACCACTTCTTTTGAAGGTGGATAGAAAACATCGCACTGACAAAACATTGTTTTTCCATCCAGTTTCTTAAAAAGTAAGATCTCCAACAAAGAACACAAGTATTTCACTCATTTTCAAAAGGATATTTTTAGCCCCAGATTTTAAATGTATCTTAATGAGTGCCTTCAATGTAATAATCTCTAAATAAATTATTTTTTAAATGGAAACCTTGGATTGGGGATGTGCTTGAACCGGTTTCTTGTACCTGTCACTGATCAGCAGTCTCTGCTAACAGATCTGGTGTAATCTGAAGTAATAACCTGATCACATTCTTTCCCCTTACACCATCCTTGTTCCAGATGACATAGTGTGCTGGTTTGATTTGACTATTGGGAGCTGAATCATAATATAAACTTCTTCGTTTTTGTTGGAGGAATGAATTTAGTTAATGAACCTTCATCCTAAAACTGACCCCCATCTCTGCCTCACAAATGAAAGTCTATTAACAGAAATCTATACCACCAATAGAAACCCAAATTCTACTTACCAACCCCCTACAAAAAAAAAAACAAAAACTCACTTTAAAGTGTATGATATAGTAATGGGGGTTGGGGTATTTTTTCATAAGCCTCTGATAATAATTACCCATGTTTTCGATGATATCTATAAGAATTAAAAAACCCAGCATAAGGGCTCATCCATGAATGAAATCAAAGCTTGACTACAAGTAAGCAAATATGTGAAAGTGCCTAGCACTATGCTAAGCAGTAGGGACATGGTAGTGTTTAAGATAGGCATGGTGCCGACCCTTAAACAATCTATGCTTTAGAATATTCTTGGACCCTCAAGAAGGAAGCAGACATCTGTTGGTTAAGGTTGAGGCCTAGAAGCGCCTTAAGAGTAGAAGAAATTGAGTACTATGATCTAAGACACAGACTCACAGAGTTCAATTAAGACCCTGTGAGTTGGGCACTGTATAATACTCACCTCTTTACCACCATCCAGTATTCAGGCTCTCTGTGTTGTACCCTAACAGGGACCCATTATGCTTCTCTACCATGCAGGCCTGGCCTGTAAGGACCATCTAAACCAGCTACATATTGCTGTGCTTCCTGTTCCTTCATCCATACCCCCTTCACTTGTGCATTTTCATTAATTTGTTCCCCCTTTGTGTAACATTTAATAAGCAGTTGGTTGGTGCCCTGTGTTGTAAGTTTCCTAATGAAAAGAGGCATAGCTGTTGAGGACTCTGAAGGGGAGAAGTGATGGCACCAGAGAGGTGGAAGATTGGAGATGCCTGTTGAGATCCCATCTGTGAGAGCAGAAGGAAGTAACAGAAAGCGGAAAGAAAAACCATATATTACACAGCATGGTATTCATGGCCAGGATACCACCTCTCCTTTGCAAGGGTGAGAAACTATTCTCAAAACAGTACTGGCTTGTCCTAACCTTGGAATTGAGGGATTTTAGAGTAAGGTCAATGAAAAACTTAATTCTTACTCCTTTTACCATTTCCAGATACAAGGGCTCAGACTTTATAAGAGGAATGAACATCCCTTGCAGTTCAGAAGCACTATACTACCAGACTCAATCATGGGACAGACTTTTACCTTGTCTCCCCATCCATCTCCCTCGCTGACTACCTACTCCCAGTTATTCTTCACCTACTTCTCTCCAGAACATCCCTTCCCTTGGTTTTCTCTAACATTCACCTAATCCTGAGCCTAACCTCCGCCCCTTCTTAGGCAATCTGGTGACATGCAATGAAAGCAAGTTGTCAAGTAAGTGACAGCAGGCCTGCCCCTCCCCAGACAGCTCACCTTTTTCAGGCAAATATGCCCCCAATGGTAGAGGCCAAGATGATGGCAAGGATAACACAGCAGATCATGAGCATGATCTTCTTCTGCTCGTTGTAAGGAGAGAGAATTACATGAGAAACGGCATCAGCGTGCAGATACACATTCTGACGAAAAGGAGACGGTACAGCTAGACATGGGAGAGGGAAGGAAGCGACAGGAAACTCCAGAAGGAAAATGGATGGATCTGGCTTGTTCACAGAAATGCTTCCAGGTTAGACTTAAAATCAGATCCACAGGGATCTGTGTATTGCCCTGTGTTCTGGATATATTCCCAACAGATCGCCTACTTCCTACTAGAGCAAGTTAAGTAACAGTTTCTTCTGGGGCACCAAAAGTCACCACATGGTGGCACCAGATCATCAAAGTGTTCTGCAGGGAGAAGGACCCAGACCTGTTTTGCAATCAATATAAACTCATTTATTTTTAAATTAGCAATAAAATAATCAAGTTTACATTTAAAAAAAATATGAACAACAATGGCCCTTCATATGTGGCATTCGTTTCGAACTTTCATCCCCTGAACTCACTGTCAGAGGAGAGAGGGGGCCTGCACTGAGGGTTGTGTCCCCTCCTAGCTGGAGCTGTGTCCTGTCAGACGTCACAGCCATAGGGAGGAGGGCATCCCTGTGGCTCTGTCTTGAGTGCTAGGTGACTGAAGAAAGAGCCTTTACAAAGGAAGCTCTTGGGTAGTACCTGGAGTGGAGTGTTCACCCTGCACCATAAAACATTGAAGTTGAAGCTTAAATACCCAAAACTGGGGATACTGGCAGGGACCACCAAAGATCTAAGGCTTACTACTAGGTAGCAATCACTAAATAAAGAAATCCAGGCTGTTGCCTCCATGATAAGAATTATGGGAGACGATCCTCCCAAGTCTTTCACCAGTACAGATAACATCAGATAGCTATGGGATGTTCTCTGGACAACCCTCTTGTAGGCAGCAGATGGGAATCAATAAATATTACACTATATACCATGCAAAAAAATTCAGTGGGAATCAACTCAGCCCTTACTCCAAAGGTCTCATTTGATTCTCATCTCAGCAGCCATCCAGAAAACAAGCTTCGTGGTGGCAAGAGGAAAATCACATTTCTACAATGATTCACTTGAGGTAAACATATCCTTTACCTGATTTTAGCCAAGCTCTGTAGTTTACCTTGTCACTTTTTTTTTTTTTTTTTGAGCTCAAGAGTATCTTCTGTTTTTCCTACTTCCTGAGAGGCAGACAATTATGTACATATCTCTCATACAGTTATAAAAGTACACCTGGAACACACAAGTGACTGACACTTCCAGAGCCCGAGACTGTAGCACCGTGTCCCTGGCCCTGTTGTGAATCCCTGGCTCTGCTTGGCCTCAAAGTAATGGCTTCACAAAGCAGTTCTCTAACAGTGACTAGCCAGTTTCCAAGACTCAGACACGGAAGCATATTCCTTATCTTCAGTCTTTGCCAATGGTAGCTTCAGACGACTGTCACCCAGAGCCCTCTGAGTAAACAAGAGCAAATACAGAGTAAAAATCTAAGTGTCCCACAAGCTGAACTTGGAGCTTAATTAAAGGTGGATTTCAAATAAGTCAACTTGTAAGGCCAAAATGATATATGCTAATCCCTCGTGTTTTCAGGATATAGGACAACAAACTAACGACGGGCATCCTGCCAACTAGGGGCTCTGATCCAAGCCACACTACTGACAAACTCAGAAGAACCCCTCTATTTTGCTAGTTACTCCCCTACAAAGTATATTCCAGGAGAATATTCCATGAGGTAGAAATACAGTGCCTCAGGCTGGTCTCACAGGGACTTTCCAAGGCACAAGGCATAATTGACACACTAGAAGGAAGGAAAAGTTGGGTTGCTTCACACAGTCCAGGAGGGAAGGTACTTCAGCTGCTAGGATGGGAGGTGATTTTGAAGAGAACTCAGGGCTGCACCGGGTACGTTAGATTTCCTCCAGGGGTAGATTGCTGAGCCAGGTCCAAGGGTGGTTACAAGGAAATAAAGGAACAGGTGCCCCTCGTTCTCAGGAAGGCCATTAGAACTCCGTTCCCATCTGGAGACAAGAGTAGTCAGGCCAAGCTGGAGTGAAATCAGGTTCTAAGAGAGGTAGGGAGAGGGGCTGATCAGTATACAGGCCAATGCTAAAGAACGAGGAATTAGCCACAAACCCCCAATTTGGAGACCAAAGATCAGAAATGCCTACCAAAAAAAAGCATGCAGAAGTCAGCACTAAATTGAAACAGCCCAGGAACAAACCCAAGGCTGGACATGTGAAATAAAAGATATGCATTGTAAAAGAATAAAACCTCTACATCAGTGTTTCTAAACCTTCCTAGTGCTGCAACCCTTTAATACAGTTCCTCATGTTGTGATGACCCCCAACCGCAAAATTATTTTTGTTGCTACTTCATAACTGTAATTTTACTACTGTTATGAATGATATGTAAATATCTGTTTTCTGATGGTCTTTTGGGGTCACAACCTACAGGTTGAGAACTACTGCTCACGGTAAGGGGGACCATGATGGTCGTAGTGGAAGGGGGGACTGATGATGGAATAGATGTGACATTAAAGGTGAACAGAGAGTTAATGGGGTTGGGGAATCCAGCAGGAGGCAGGTAGGATAACTAAAATTAGACATAACATAATGAACCCCATTACTTTGTATATTAATAGTAGGACCAAAAAATATCTAGACCACTTACAAGCCTTCGTGCTATATAAACTATCACCTGTGGAAGGACATGGGATGTGCAAACACTAGTTGAAAACACCTGTTCCCTGCCTGACACACGGCAGCTCTCCTCTTGAATTCAAGCTTCAGAAGCATCCTATATCCAGATCCTCTCTAGGAGCCCTCCCTTCATAGGAAGCAGACAGGCACAATCAAAAGACTATGGAAAATCTCAGGTATTATACTATGGCTGTGTCATCTTACAAGTGATGTAAGAGTGGGCATGTCTCTCCAGGGGCTTTCTGTAAGTTAGGGGCACTGATGGCATCTCAGCACTGTAGCTGCAACTGCAAAATGTAAACACAGGCTGCCCTTGGTCGTGGGTTGGTATGGAAGACTGCTAAGCCTCCACCTAGGTGCCAAGCAACCTTGCCTTCAGTAGGGAATACTGACAACATGCAGTAAACCATGAAACTTCATAGCAACTCAATGCTGTGCAGTCTGGTTAGTCAACTAAAAGTAACTGTTAACCTCCTCAAAAATGAGTCTTCTACATTCTCAATTCTTGGGATTAGGAATAAGGGCTAAGAGGCATCAAGAATTTGCAAGGCATCTTTCATCTGAGGATATGGAAAGAAAGCAACTATTACATCTTTGTTTTATTTTACTATGTTCTGCACTGAGATAGTCAAGCCTGAGCACAACACTAAAACTTTATAAACAGACGTCATCAGGAACTAGAAAGATGCCAGGATAAAGAGAAGGGATCAAAAGAATCTATAAGAGCTTGATTGCCTCATCACTAATAACTCTCAATGTAAAGTTGAGCACTTAAGATTTAATAATCTGACCTGCAGGTGCCCCGGTCACATGGAAAGGGGAGAAATGCAGTGAAACACTGGGGTGGGACAAAAGTAAAATGAAGGATCAGCTTGGTGTCAACACCCAAGTCTGTACCAGCTCTCAAGGAGGTTCATGCTTGTTACCTCAGTAATCTAATTTCTGAATTTATAGTAAAGAGAAAAACATACAAAGTGCATCACATTTAATGATAGAAAATAATATAAACTCCAGTACTGAGGAAATGCTAAATGTTCTTATGTTGAGAATATATTTACAACAAGATTTTAGTGATGAAGAATGATCTTTATGATTTTCTAACTGGGTAAAAGCACTATATAATTAATACAGTATGAACTACACAAAACTGAGAGTGGGTGAGCCTGCCACATGTTTGTACAAATAATATAACTTCACTTGTCTATATCTTATAAGCGTTTAAAATGACATATATTCTGTTTTATTAGAAAAAAACGAAAGATCTTAAGTCCCAAGGTCTACTAGGTCATCTATCATGTTTGTCAATGTCAAGCCTAGTTACTGGCCAGCTATATCTTAATAAATTTCAGTTGCTAGCCTAGAGTTCTCTGGCCTTTATAGACAATGATAAACACTACCTTATTTTATAAAGAGAAACTAAGTTGTAGAAAAGCACTCTTCTAGGTCCACTGTTAGCTATGTGAGTTTGATGTTTCTCTAAGACTTAAAGTGTTTCTACTTCTAAAATAATACTAGCCGCCTCATAAGAATGTTGTGAGGATTCTGTTACATGTGCAAGGTGTTTAGCAGACTCTGCCATGAGTCAACACTTAAAAATGGTACAAGTACCATTCAAGAGCCAACCATTCAGCCACAGCATAAAGCTTCAGTTATGTTGAAAACAGACAAGGAAAGCGAAGCCCAATGTCCATGAAAGCAACTAAGAATTTAGATGACAGCTCCCAGATTATACCCACCATCCATCCATGCTTCCTGGGCACAGACAGTAAAAATGAGGTGTCGAGTGTGCCAAGCAACAAGACAAAGTAGGAACAGAGTCTTCAGGCTACAAAGACATGACGGATATCCTGCAGCCAGAACCCAAGAATAGAATTTTAAGGAAATGAAAAAGAATCAAGGCTACCAAGAGTTTTAAAGCTCATTGTGACAGTTGTTAGAAAAGAGAAGAGTTCTGAAATCCCAGACTCATTTCCTCAGGGGGACCCAATCCAGAGTCCCCCAGAACCATTCATCTACTTACTTTTCAGTGCAGCAGCCCCTTAGGCCACTCTTACTTCAGCCCAACGGACAGTCCAATAATCAACGCTAAAATGCCCAGCAACACAACTACTACCACAATGATAATTATCAATTTCTGGAGAAAGGAATAAAAAACAAAAATAAAGTCATTATTAAAAAGTTAATAAAATAGCAACTCTTCAAAAATTCAGCGTTTTTCATCTCTCTAACCAAGAAAATAAAATCTTTTCAATCTCAATAAAAAATGCACACCTCTCTATAAAAATGTTCTCGTGTATACTTTACATTTCTTAAATTCCTTTTTGCCTAGCCAGCTAGTAGAAATGTGGAGTGCCTACAGCTCTCAGTTCATAGGCTTGCATATGTGCACTCATAGCAATCGGTATCAGGAGGTCTCCAAGCAGCACTTGACCAATCCATAAAACAGTTAAGTTTGCCTTTTCAACAGGGAGCATTAAGATATCTGGCATAGTCCTAATCACCAACTTGTGTCATCTGTCCTCTTAAAGTCCAGTGTATACCTCAGACCACATATACTGAATAGGTATCCAAAGTACGATTTTCCATAGATTCAGATGAAAAATAGCTTGCCTGAATAGTTGCACAAGCAATAGGAGCAGTTGGAAGAGAAAGAACTAAAGAATAAAAATACCAGCACCCAAGAGAAACAAAGAAGAGTAAAGGGCAGAAGTTGCCACAACTGGATGTCCACAGTCAATAAGAACAGAAACTTCGGAGTCTTGAGCATAGCGCCAGGAGGGCAGGCAGATAGACAGGGTGGAAAGAGATGAGTAGGTTCTGAATGCCAGGCCCCGCCTCCTACACTGCTGAGTGTTCCGAAGCCAGCTGCATATCCTCTGCCCTCAAATTGCTTCATCTAGAAGTAGAGAAAGGAGGCACTTCCATGAATAACTGGTAACTTTTACATAACAATTAGCATCTGTGCCAGGTTCAAGTTATAGAAAAAGAAACAATGGAGGGCTAGGGGGAAGATGTTACCGAAGATCCAAGGAGCTGTGTATTGTGTTAAGGGGTCATAGGCTACATTCAGGAAATTAGTGGTAAGACCTCGGCCATGTCTCCAGCCTACAGGGAGCTCAAGTACTGATTCTTGGGGCAAAAGCATGTGACAGCCAGATCCATGCAAGGTACCCTGGGAAGGAAGTCTCTAGGAAAGACTAAGGTAAGGGTCTGGAAGAAGCTAGGACAGAGAGGGGGACATGGGCCTAAGGACAGAGGTATAAAGGTGACAAAAGACAGAAAGAGAAGGTACAACAAGCAGAGACTGAGGCGCTCACCCTCCGGGCTTCACTCTGATACTTGACAGCCTTTTTGGTATCTGCCACAGCCCGTTCCACAAAGCCCACTGACTGGTCCATGTTGTTCTCAATACGGTCAATCATGGCTCCCTTTCCCCAGATGCAAGATGTGGTGGCAACAGAAACAGACAGGAGGAGGGAGAAAAAGCACAGTAGCAAACAAAATGGACTCGCTTGTCTCAAGACAGAAGGAAAACCTCACCTTCCGAGCCTGACCCTGATACTTCATGGCTTTTTTAGTTTCATCCCGTGCCTTCTCCACATGGTCGACGGTGTGCATGACATTCAACTCTATGTTATCTAACATCTCACCCTGGAAAGGAGACACAAGTCACACCTGTTAACCCATGCACAACAGCCCCAGCTAATGTGAAGGGACTCAATAGCCTTCATGCCAAGACACACAGAAACCTTAGAGAACAGCCTTATGTTGAGCAAATGTTCCCATTTCCCATGTGATGACCTATAATTCCCCAGATTTAACAGTGGTCACTCATTCTATAAATCCTGCATTACTTCCTTGAGATCAGTACTGTGTTGAACATCTGAAGCAGTTTTTCGAGATGTTTAGTAACTGTGTAAATATACACAGACATTCCCTCTGTCACATTTTTTTAAGTTTCCTATCACTTAACATATAGAGATGAACCAAAATAAGAAAAGCTCATATTTTTATAATATCACCAGAATTCTGTCCCCTTCTTGGCCATTCAGACCCAAATCAAGTTCATTCAGCCTAAGATGAGTTCATTCACTACTGTAAGATAGCGCCTGGCACATAAAAAGTATTCAGTAAGCATCAGGTTGGCAACAGTAGAAAGTACTTATGTTCAAGGGAAATTCCCACACTCCTTACGAAGTAGGTGTTGGGTTTACCCATGCTCATCTTCCCCTCCAGACACTAGTCTTTTAATAAGAGTCCCAATTACTTCCCAGCTTTTACTTCCTACCAAGGAAGTTTGGTCACTCCAGTTACTTCCTGAGAATCTAAAGTAGAGCACGCCCCTCACCCACCCAGACCTTTCTCAACCCCATCCTATCACCATAAGGTTCTCAATAAGCATAGCAAGGCACTTACCATCACTTGAAACTCAAACCAGATCCTCGGCAAGGCAATATGGTGGGAAAAAAGAAAAGTGGGAATGGGGGGATTGAGAAAGGGTCTCAAAGGCCAGAAAGAGGAATGGGGGGAAAGCACAAAACCAAGGGGCAGAGAACTAATAAAAGAAAAAACTAGCCAATCAGTGCTTAGGCTTCAACTAGGTTCAGTGGTCTATGTATTAAGCAAGAGTTTCCAATTCTGTCCAGATGGCTGAGCAGCTGGAAGTTCCTGATGAAAGTTGCACAGCACTGTGACCGTGCATGATATCTAACTCTATCCCAAGAACCAGGGACAAACCACCTAACAGAAATGAAGACCATATGCAAGCACTATTGAATTCCACCCAAGCAGGCATTCCTTGGGATGAACTGTCAAAAGTGTCTCTATAAATATTCTTTTGCTGATTCTTCATTCATGCTACTATTGATTCTTAGCAAAAAAAAATGCTGAGCTCCAGGACAGTCCCCAAAGCAATACTGAGAAACCCGTTCTCAAAAAAAAAAAAACAAACAAACAAAACAAAACAAAACAAAAAACACAGAAGTTTCAAAGGGGAAAGAAATGCCAAAAAGCTCAGAAACAAAGGGAAAAATAAAAACAAACAAAACGAAACTGGAAGAATTAACTTGCTTTTAAGTTCTATGGTGAATTGGAGGGAAAAAATTTTCAATAAAATAATTCATATCAGTTAAGCTGACTGCCAAGGCTTTGCCAGCAAGACTTACCCTTTTTTTCTTTTAAGGAAGAGTGGGTCTCATGTAGCCCAGCTGTACCTAAGACTTGCTCTGTATTAGAAGATAACCTTTAGCTCCTAATCCTCCTGCCTCCATCTCCCAAGTGCTGAGATTATAGGTATATGCCACTATGCCTGGTTTACGGAGATCTGGACCAGAAGATGGCTTGGACCCAAGGCCTCATGAATGCTAGCCATGCACCCTATCAACTGAACTACACATTCCCCAGCCAAAGAACCCCCATGTCTTTACTTTTTTTTGGAGGGGGAGTAGGAGGGGATAAAAAGATGCTGGGTGAACTAGGTTCTTGTCATGACATAGGAAGCTTCATTACTAACTAGAATCACAGTGAAACTGAAGTAACAGGTAGAAATAACAAGACTGAGCTGGCTCAAATGCCAACCCTTGATAAGTAAGAATGCACACCTCTTCCTGAGACACTAGAATTTTGTTGCTCCATGGTAAAAATTCCCTATTCCCTCCCCCATCAGATCTCCAAAATGTCATTTATGGTTTTCAAGGAAATGTGTGCTTTTTTTCCCAGCCGGCTACCTGATTCTCCACCAGCATGGCGATGTCCATAAACATGTCATGGAGCTCCTTGATGCTGCTCTCCAGCCTCACGATATCCTTGTGCCGGCCCTCAATCTCACTGAGGGCTTGCTTGGAAATCTGCGAGTCGATGATCTACAACAGGCCCCATACAGACAGGCCATCAGCCACGCTTGTAACAGACTGCCCCTGCAGAGCCCTCACACCCCACATAGGCTCCCTCCCCTGCACAGCTGCAACTGCAATGAAGCTCCCCCATGACCCTCCCTGTCCATGGTGCCTCGATCACTCACTCCAGAAGTGAAGATGGCAGGGTTACCACTCTCCAACATCTCTTCCAGCTCCTCGTCTGTTGTCTTCTTGCCAGCTTTGTAACAAAAGAAAAAACAAAAAAACATAAAATATAAGATCAAAGCACAACTCCATTTAAAATTTCCTCCCAAACAAACATTGACTCCAACAACCCTCTGACTCTTCTCATTTCTCTCCCAATTCAATCCATCTTTAATATTACCAGCAATCAATCCCCACCCTAAGCACAGACTCCATTACTTCTCAGCTCAAACTGATTTTTAGCCCCAACCACCATACCACAGACCCCGAGACTCTCATGACAGTGCACAATTTGTGGCAGCCCTGCCTCAACCTTACACTGCAGCTTCAAACACACCCTCCTTCCAACCTTCCACTCCTAGTCAAGCACATCTGCCTTTTCTTGACATCTTTGTTCACACAGCTTCTCCCACTTGAAGCCATTTTCCCTGGAAGGCCTACCATTCCATATCACTAAATTCCTAAACAATGGAACTATGTCAATTGTTTAAATCTTCACAGCAACTAGCACTACAACTTTGTTTCGTAAATGGACTTTCCATTTAACAGCAAACGATGCAATGGGTTCTTAGGAGAGCGACCTAAGAACTTAGTGGGTGACCCCTGCAGGTATGAAGACTGGATCCCAAAAGAATAAAATTCCTTGGCTCAACAAATGTAACACTTTCCAACCTAGGATACCATATTACAGATATATCAATCCCATAGCGTCTTTCCTGTGTTTGAGCCCCAATCAGAATGTAGAAGACACAAGCAGCAGGGTCACTGTTGCTTCTCCCAGGACTTGGGTTGGACAACCACATAGCAGGAAAAGGTAGGGACAGACATTGGCCCAACTTCAAACACATACTAATTTCAAGCTGCCGTTGGATGCGCCCTTTGCTGCGTTCACGGAAGTCCACCTGAGCTTCGTTGTACTTTGTCATCACTTCCACAAACTTCCGGGAGAGGACGGAATGCTACAGAAACAATGTTACATGAGTAGACCCCGGGAGATGGTGTAAACTCTGTCCCGCCCCCAACACAGTCTAGTCTGTAGCAGCCTGGGTTTGAAACCAAAAGACAATACAAAACCCAAGTTTGCTTTCCTGGTTTGGTGCTATGGGAAGAGTCCATTGCCACTTCCACTACCCATTTCCTCCTTTACTGAATTCACATCATAGTTTTAATCATAAGCGAGAATCACTGAGAAGTTGAGAGCCCAGTAGCAATTTTCCACCATAGCCTTGGCTAAAGCCGTCAGGCACCCTTCCCACAAATAGTCCTTACCCCAACCGACGACCTCAACTTTCCTTGCTTACAAACAGACATTTGCTCTCAACAGACCTTCATAATAAGTTTAATCCCTTGCCCACCTCACAGCATCCAGCCCTACTGATATCTTTTTTTTTAACCAAATGCACTGCTTCCATGTAAGTTCAAACTAAATCACTGCAAAAAAGCCTCTTGCCTCTTCCCCGCTCACATCCAAAAGACTATCATATCCCCCTAACATGCTGTGTAACCTGAAACAAATGACTGTCGGCTACTGCATCAGATCCAAATTCCCTCAACTAGTACCTAAAGACCTTTGGAGTGTGATACTACATCATCTGCTGGAAAGTTAGCATCTGCTACCCAGCAACAAACTCCTTTCTCAAGAGACGTTATTCCCATTATATCCATCCTATACTCATCCCCATCCCTGTGCCGCTGCCACCACCTTCACTGCCACTCCCACCAGCGCAACCACTCCTCTGCTACTGCCAACATGCACATGCACAGTCATACTCATCCCTGATCCTATTTCTTATTTCCGCTCGAAAAAGGGAGGCTCTGCCTCCCGAGCCTCTCTATACCAGCACTCTTGCTTACCCAAGGGCCAGTTTCTCTAGCTACCCCCAGTTCTCCAAGAAATCATCCAGTGATGAGACGACCATATATTCAATTATGTCGTCTTACATTGTTCTCCTGCTATATAGTATTTATTTACTATACCACTTAAACATCATATCAGGTTCCTCCCTCCTGTTTTTCCTTGTTTTTTTTAATGTTCTCACACTATAGCTCAGGCAGGGTAGCCTTGAAGTCTTGGCAGTCCTCTTGCCTCTACCTCCCAAGTATTGGGGTTATGCTTTGTGTTAGTTCTCATAGGACAAAGATCATGTTTTTGATTACTCCAAAGTGCCTGACTCCAAACTGGACAACTACTAACAATCTGTCGAAGAAAGACATCAGTTCCTTTGCCTATAAAACAAGGGGGTGCTAAAGCTGAGTTCTGAAGAGCCTAGGGAAGTACTTTAAGTGCCTCCTTTTGAATGTGAGAGAAGGTCAAAAGGAAACAATGGGCCCTGACCACTGCTTCAACCTGGATGGCACCCTTTTCCCAGTTCCTCATTTCCAATACAATAGAATCATATTTTTTTCAATGCACAACAGTGAAAGATAATTAAAAGAATAGTTAAAAAATGATTGTTAAACCAGAAACAAAGTTACCTGGGACTTTCGGATCCGAAGGTCTGCTGATGACCGGACATCATCTTCTTCAATATGCTTCTCCATGCCTGGAGTGAGAGAGTTATTCTAACAACATGTCTGTCTTTCCTTCCACAAAGTATCCTATCCACTCAGCAATACAAGCTGAGCACCCTTTATGTGAAATGCTTAGAACCAGGAGTGTTTGAGATTTTATGAACACTTGGAATATTTGCATATATATAACATTGGGGATGGCACAAAGGACTCATTTGTGTTTCATATATACCTTAGAGCTTAGAGATAATTTTGTACTATATTTCTAGTGCACTTGTGGGGTTAGGTGTGAAATTTTCTACCTACAGTGTCATGAATGCTCAAAAAGTTTAAGATTTTGGAGTACATTGAATTAGGAAATTTTGGATTAAGGATGCTCAACCTGAACCTCCTTAAAATACCACGTAAAAATCAAATGAACAGCTTATCACAGGACAATCACATTATCACTATTTTCAGAAGCTGTCTTCCTCTCTATACCCATTAAAGTAACTGTTGTAATTTATTGGAGAGGGAAGTCATACTGATTTCCTCTCTTACCAATAACACATACTCAACAAGCACTTTAAATGGGAACATGGATTGCGGCTGTGGAACTAAGCAAGCATTTGCGATCTCCAAAAGGAGGGTGTATGACAGTGGCTTCACTGAGCTATGCTCCAAAACCAGGGAAGGAGGGAGGGATGAGAAGGTACACAGTAAGGAATGTCTGCTGGCTAAATGGCAAACCCTGTACCTATGCCCCTGCAGTTACCTCTCCAATGTACACGGGTGCTGGGGAACCAGCAAACAGAAGGACTACGCTAAAAAGTCACAACAGCAGTGGGAAGCATATTTTTCTGTTTTTGTTTTGGCTGGGTGGGTTTGTTTGTTTGTTTGCTTTTCAAAACAGGGTTTCTGTATGTGGCCCTGGCTGTCCTGAAACTAGCTCTATAGACCAGGCAGGTCTTAAACTCACAAAGATCTGCCTGCCTCTGCCTCCCAAGTGCTGGGGTTAACGGCACGGGATACCACTGCACCTTGGAAAGTACATTTTAACTTCCACTTCCTAACATCAGTTCTGGACATTTTCAATTGCAGTGAGAATTCAAGGGCTGATGGGTGTCTAAGGATACAATAGGTCAGTCCAGGGACATTGCCCAAGCCTCCAGTAAAAATGGGACATGTGATGTCACCCCCAGTGAGATGACTGGCAGTTGAGAAGTGAGCCCTGAGAAGCTGCATCTAGTTGTGGTAGAGACTGGCTTATTCCTGTGTTCCCTTCTTACTCTTCAGCTTGTTCCGGACGTTGTTGGCCCTCTTCTTGATCTCAGTCGTGAGCTGTTCAAGGTCATCTTTGGTTTCTGGGTAAACACAAGAGGCAGACTCAGTTAGAAGAGAGGGTGAACTGCCCGTGAGTTACAACAATCAACAGATGAAGCAGAAGCTTTCTCAAACACCTGCTGCCACCGCAGTGCTCATTTCAGTTCGCTATCCAGAATCTACTATAGACGTGACTGTATCACAGAGAAATTGGTTGTTTGTTTGTTTGTTTGTTTGTTTGTTTGTTTTCTAAAGCATTTCAAACTGAGGGGATGGCACAGTGGTAGATCACATGCTTAGCATGCACCAAGCCCTGGTTTAAATCCTTCATATCCAAAATAAATTATTAATTAACTAAATAAAAGGCATTTTCCAAGCACCCCACCCCAGACCTGAAGAACCAAATACCCCAGGGTCAGAGCCTAGGATCTGCTTTATTTAATAAGCCTCCCCAATCCCAGTCATGCCTTTAAAGGAATTAACTTGTTTACCATGTGTGCTCAATCTCAGGACATAGGAGAGGAGTCTATGGACGCTCTGGGGAAAAGAAATTTCAACCAAAGCCCATTAACTTAAATGAGGCAAATATTTATGACGAACTTACTACATGCCTAGAACTATCCCAGCTAATGCATGGAGCACCGTACTCATGGTGGGTTTATGAAGCAAAATTAACAAGAGCTAGGACCTTTCATTCCAGACCCATCACTCAGTTCCACTCACACTTAGAACTGAGTGAGAAACTAAGGGATCAGATATAGATTCAGCCTTCAAGGAGCTGAGCCTGGCAGGAGATGAATAGGAAGTACATCAGAAGTCTTGATATGTAATACCAGGTATGGTTTAAGTTCTGAGCAAAGTATGCATGGGATGTTTAAGGAGAACCTTAGCACAGCCTCAGGGATCTGGAAGAGCCCCTAAAGGCAGAGATAGTAGAACTGAGTCTCAACAAAAACTACAGGGTAGCAAATAATAAAAGTTAGTTAGTTAGTTAGTTAGTTAGCTAGTTAGTAGGTTGGTTAGTTAGTTTAAAAGAAAGACTATAGGTTAGCTAGGTAGCCAAGGAAACTAAGAGCAGAAATCCCAATGATATATATAAATAAAGAACATTTATATATAAAGAACATGACGGAACAAGGAATGTTTGAGGAACAACTAGAGGTCAGCATAAGGCTAGTATCAGCAGGACAGGGCAGGGGTGGCAAGAGAAAGTGTGGAGAGGAAAGTGGGAACATGAGGAGACAATTCCCATGTGCTCAGGAACTGGAGAGCCACTGAGCAAGGTAAAGGAAGAAAGGAGCAGACTGTTTGCTTTTCTTAGAAACATAAAATACAGGGCTAAACTGTATTCTCCAAATATAAAACACTTAGTGGAACAAAAGTTTGCCGAAGGGAGGAAAACAAGCCTGTCTCAGCCCAGGGTGACTCAGCTCAGTCAACACTCACTTGGCTCTGGAATCGGTGCAGAGAGAATGATACTGTAGAGTTTCTTAGCTTCCTCCACACTCTCTGAGATCTTGTCAATGTTGAGCCGAGTTTCCTCAATCTATAATCAAAAAGACAACAGAGGGAAAATAGTCCACACCTGGAAGGAATGCTTAGCAGAGTTTCCTGCTGCAATCTGTCCACCTTCTGTTTGTGGAAGAGCATGAAGAAAATCTTCAGCTGCCCAGGGAGTGCCATCTCCACTGTCAAGGAAATTAGTCTATAAAGAACTGTCATTACAATCCACACTCCTCTCCCTGAGAGGGAAGTAATACTCACCTTGAATGGTAAGGTTCAGTGGAGAACAACCCTCTGGCCCCCAAAGTGATAGCAGAAGAGAATGAGCATGGGGTGGGGAGAAAGGAAAACAGTCAAAGAGAGCAGAGCAAATGTAGAAGACAAAGGACAGGGGAAAGAAAGAAACCCGGCAAGGCCATCTCAGAAGACAGCCAGGCTTCTGGATATATTCTGGTGAACCAGCTATTACAGGCTAACCCTGGCATCTGATCAGGACCCAGAAGTTACAGCCTTGGATCATTTCTGTCATTTTAAGGTTCCTGGCTGCACAAGTGTATGCCATAAAGGATTTCCAATAGCATTTTGTTTTGTGACAGAACACCAACAACAACAGTTCACCTCAGCTTCATCCACTGGCACCAGGGGCCTGGGCACCATGGCCCCAAAGCAGATGTACAGAGGGGGCAGCAGATACAGAAGAAACCTCAGCACCCACTGTGCCTATCTACCTCACCCCAAAGTGAAGGGGACATCAACACCGCAACAATTAACCAACAGGAACCTTGTCGTTGACATAATATATCTTATTCATAATACATAACATCTGGAATGCAGATTCAATGCATAGGTTACTTCAAATCCAGTGCCCCCTTCTCCAATGGATAGGTACCTCTTTTCAAAAATCTAGTTACAATGCTTCAGAAAATAGCAAAGATCAAGCTTGAGCTTTCTATCCCTCACAACAGCATTTTTGCCACCCAAGAGATATTTTTTCCTCTATAAATATGTTGGCTTATATGTACCATAGTTTGACAGTAGGATCACTGCTGAAAAACATAAAATGAAATATTAATGTAATCATATCAAAGTATAAATTCACATATGCACAACTACTCAAATTTTCACTTAGCATTTTAATAGCTGGCAAAATAACATTTAAGAGTATATTAGTATTATTTCTTAACATCTGGAATGCAGATTCAGTGCATAGGTTACTTCAAATCCAGTACCCCCTTCTCCAATGGATAGGTACCTCTTTTCAAAAATCTAATTACAATGCTTCAGAAAATAGCAAAGATCAAGCTTGAGCTTTCTATCCCTCACAACAGCATTTTTGCCACCCAAGAGATATTTTTTCCTCTATAAATATGTTGGCTTATATGTACCATAGTTTGACAGTAGGATCACTGCTGAAAAACATAAAATGAAATATTAATGTAATCATATCAAAGTATAAATTCACATATGCACAACTACTCAAATTTTCACTTAGCATTTTAATAGCTGGCAAAATAACATTTAAGAGTATATTAGTATTATTATTCAGATTAGAAAACTAAAATTTAATAAGTCATAACCCACCAGATGTGGTCACACATGTTATCTCCTGTGAACACTGGTGGTGTTTAGACAATACACTTCTGCCCTTCTCCTTTCTCTCTACACAACACTGGCTTCTGTGGCTAGTCTTATGAACTAGGAGAATCCTGGTCCAAACTTTGGTCAATGGTAGAGAGACAGAACATGGGAAGTTGCAAAGTCTATAATGCCCCAAGTACAGAGTCACTACAGGCATATGGAGACTGAGAGTTAGGACCAGGTCATCCCATCTTCTGCTTATGTTCTAAATGTTCAAGTTCTGGAGCAAACACCACCCCTACCCTACAACTACAACTGCTTTATTCCCTGTGTGCTATCCATCTCACCATCTGGAGGCATTTCAGGGATCTTGATAAACAGCACTTTAATCAGTTCACCAAACAATCAAAAACCCCTTTAGAACTTCAGGGTGAGCAACTGGTAAACCACAAGAGCTTTCTCTCCTTGAGCTTTGTGTCAGTTTTTTCTTGGAAGTGTTCATCTTCCTAAACAATCAGGAGATTTTTAAACAGTGAATAGAAAGAAGCATTGCTGATAGATTAAGCCAACCCAAAAGTAGGTTTTTCAAATCACCACTAAATTTAAGGCTAATGCATCCCCAGTACCTTTTTACTATCTATTGATTTTCAGACTATTTACCAACAATCTGTCATCAATATGAGACTCTAGATAATACAATTTAAAAAAAAAACAGTATCAAACAGAACAAGTTCAGGGTTCAGCTCCACCTCTTAGCACTTTTATGACCTTGAACAAGCTTACACCACATCAAGTACATAATGAATGTTAGACGATAACAATGAGTACAAACAGTAATAACAACTGCTCGTTTATTATATGCCAGGCACTATGCTACCCCTTTAAAAGTATGTCTCATTTAATCCTATAACAATCCTAATGTCCTCAGTAATCACTCACAAAAATCTAAGAACATCAGGACTCTTGATGGTAGGTGCTGCCAATTAGATTGACCACGTGATATTAACCGAGATCATCTCACTGAAAGGAGGAAGTTGTTTTGGTCTTTTTCCATTTCCATGCACATGTGTGTTATGCACTGATGGGGAAAGTACTTCTGTGTATGTTTATCTTATTGATTGTTAAATAAAGTTCTGTTTGGCCAATGAGACAGCAAGTTAGGCAGGACTAGGAGTCAAAGAGGATTCTGGGAAATGTAGTAGAGAAGTGGTGTTCCAGGCAGGAAGTGACATAGCAAGGAGACTCATTTAAGAAAGGAGAAAAAGGAAGTGTCCCTTTTCCCCTCCGCTCTTGCAATGTGATCCACTGGCAAGGAGGGACGCCAATAAGGCATCCAATAAGATAAGTCTTATAAAATATATAGATTTATGATCATTGAGACTGAGCTAACAGATGATAATCCTAGTCATTGGCCAAGCAGCATTGTACCTAATACAAGTCTCTCTGTGCATTAATTAGGGCCCTAACTCAGGCAGGCAGCTGGCATAGAGCGCACACGTAGCGGTGGGGCTTGGCGGCTTTTGGTGGAAAGATATATCGTAACAATGCGTACATGTGTTAGCAAGTGGATGAGCACATATGGGTACAAATACACACATGTGAACATGTGTTGAGGCCTGAGGTATATGTTGGGAATCATCTTCAGTCCCTATGACACCTTATTCATCAAGGCAGGTCACTCAATCATACCCAGCATTTGTGGACGTGGCTGCTTACTCCAGGGAACCCCTATCTCTGTCTTCTGAGGATGGAATTACAGGTGGATATCATGCCAACTTAGCATTTACATGGGTCCTGGGGATCTGAGCTGTGCTCCCCACACTTGCATGGCAAGCACTTTAACCACCCAGCCATCTCCCAGAGCAGGTGGTAGTTATATTGAAGACATCAGTGGCCTCTTCCCCTGGACCTAATTCTCCAGTGGACTCTAATTAGACAACAAAAAACAAAGTCCTGGCTGACTGTGGCTGGGTGAGGTGAAAGTTTTTTTCATGACTTAGTTTTTCAGCTTCTTCTTATGAATGAAAAGTATGACCTCAGAGTTGGACTGACTAATAAAAACAAGTTTTCTAAGACAATATTCTCAAATCAACTAAGTTGAAACACTAATCCTCCCTAATCAGAATGTCAATCATAAAAAAAAAAACATGGTGAATAAATAGACAGTTGGTGGGGTGTAAATTAGTACAGCCACTACGGAAATCAGTATAGCAGTTCCTCAGAATGCTAAAAAAGAACTTGTATATGATTCTGCTGCACCACTCCTACAAATACACTTGAAGGAAATGATGTCATCATGCAGTAGAAATACCTCACACCCATGTTTACTTCGGCAATATTCATAGCCGAAACTGTTAACAGATAAATGGATAAATGTGTGCATATCAGAATACTACTGAGCCATAAAAAATAAAATACTATCATTTGTAGGAAAATTGATAGAATTAGACATTATCATGTTAAGTGAAAAAAATCATGTTAAAGCAGTCTCAACTAGGTATGTTTTCTCTCATACAGAATTTATACACTCTCTCTCTCTCTCTCTCTCTCTCTCACTCTTCCCTTCTTCCTCTCCACACACACACACACAAAAGTAGGTGAGGCACTACCAGGAACTTAGAAGAGGGACCAAGGTAAAAAGTACGGGCATAGTAAGAAAGGTGGCTTCAAACAGAGCACAGTATACACATATATGCCATATAAATCTGCTAATCTGCATAATACAGTGTAATGCAGTTCCCAGCAAGAAAGGGCAAAGTGCAGGAAAGGAAGTGGAGAGATAGGTCAAAAGCAAATTGCCAAATGGCCAGCCAAGGCTTCTTGCCTCACTATTGGAAGAGCCTAGAAATCAGAATCTACCAGCTTGCCTACTTCCCTCTCATGCAAATACCCTACTGAAAGAGTTAAGAAGGTCTTAACCTGCTGGTTTTGACCTAATGCCTGGATTTCCGAATTATAATCACTTTGAAAGATCCTAGGTTCTAACAAAACTCAAGCCCAAACAGCAAATCCCTGTGCTTCAAGATTAGTTCCTCTGTAGCTCCTACTGCTCCATCCAGACACACCCTTCCCTAGCCCACTCTCCAGTCAGGCTCTGGAGAACTTGGCCTGTTTTTTTAAGTATGATCCAGATGCTTCAAATGCCATGGCTATGTTTCTCATCTCAGACTACTTGAAAGACCCCATGATGCCAAACACACAGAGTCACTCTGTAAATGTCTGGTTAATGAATGTCTGAATACAAGTAACTTAAAGAAATAAGCAGGCTTGAAGAGGTGGGGAATAGTTCAGTTGGTAAAATGTTTTGTGGTGATATATTATTTATGATTTGTTAAGGCTTACCTGAGGATTCAGAAAGCAAAGTCAGCCACAAGCCATAGAAGCCAGGCACACGCCTTTAATCCCAGCAGCCAGAAGTTAGGAGGTGGTGGTACACACTTTTAATCCTAGGACTCAGGATTAAGAGGTAGACAGATCAGATCTATACAAGATTGATCCAGTCGTAAAGAGAAACAGCTCACGCAAAAATGATCTGAGTACCTGGGATTACATGCCTTTAATCCCAGTTTTAGGGAAATATGTAAGACAGGAGCAAGGTCTCAGTATCAGGCTTTCATTCTCCAGCCACACTGAAGAGAGGTTACAGTCTGAGGCTTGGTGAGAGCTCATGGAGATAGGATCAGCCCATTCAGTCTGAGGTAAAATAAGAGCTAGTGGCCAGCTGCTTTGCTTTTCTGATCTTTAGCTTGAAGTTTGAACCACAGTATCAGTCTCTAGGTCATTTATTTATCACATTACCATGTTTGTCTTGTAAACTTAGGAAGCTGAGTTCAATTCCCCGGAACTCAGATAAAAAGCCTAGGTATACAGGCATGTCTGTAACCCTAGCACTGGGAAGGCAGAGACAAGTAGTCCCTGGCCAGCCCAACTGGTGAGTCTGTGCCAATGAAAGACAATTTCTCAAAAGAGGTTGATATCCTGAGGTTGACCCCTGAGGTTGTCCCCCAGTCTCCACACACACATATTCATAAATGTGCACTTGCATACACACATACCTGAGAGAGAAAGAAATATGCTTCGCACCCCAGCAAAATAGTCTCATTTTTTAAGTATACCCACAATGAACTGAATGCTGTACCCCCACAAATTCACACATTGATTCTTAATATAAAGGTATTTAAATGTGGGGCTTTTGTAGGTTACTAAGTCATGAAACTGGATCCCTCATGAATGAGATTAGCAGCCTTTGCTCTCTTTCCATTTTGTGAGGCCACAGAAAGTTGAAGTACTCTGAAATCTAGAAGGAGAACCCAGCATAATCAATAATGCTGGTACCCTGAAAGCAAACTTTTAGGCTCAGGAACCACAGCAAGTAAGTTTCTATTATCTACACACTATCCAAATAATGTTCTTTGTGACAGCAGCCCAAACTAAGGTAGACTCCCCCAAAAAGAAGTGGTACATTTTCCAAAGGGTAGCCACTCAACCTTGTTAATAAAAGTTCCATGTCAGGTCTGTGACAAGCTAAACACTGAGAGAGCCTAGCAAAGCAAGTTCCTTCACTATGGGACTTCTTGGAGCCTTTAGGAAGACCATGTGCATTCTAAATGTCTGAGAGAGGGCCAGCATGATGGCTCAAAGGGTAAAGACACTTTCCATCACCCAAGTTAGACCCCCATGGCCAGAGACAGCCAACTCCCTTGAGTCAAGTCATCCTCTGACCTACACATGTGCCGAGGCACACATACACTAAATAAATGTGATTAAATTAAAAAAAAAAAAAAAACCACAGCATTATCTTTAAACAAATACATCTCTAACAGAAAAAAAAGGGAAGTTTCTCAAATATTTGATCAGAGGTCTATCGAATCTCACACTGCCATCCAGAATGAATATTCTTTTTTTTGGGGTGGGGGGGTCTCTGTGTAGCTTTGGAGCCTATCCTGGCACTCTCTCTGGAGACCAGGCTGGCCTCAAACTCACAGAGATCCGCCTGCCTCTGCTTCCCGAATGCTGGGACTAAAGGCTTGCGCCACCAACGCCCAGCTAGAATGAATATTCTTATTGCCCAAACAGCCACATCCAACCTGTGCCCTATAGTTTAGTAACAGTCCCTGGCTGTGTTTGGGCAGCATGTGGCCATCTCTAGAGGATCTATCATGCAAGGCTCTGTGGCAATCATGGTAATCTGAATCTCTCTGCAAAGTATTCACCCTCTTCGTATCCCTTCCAACAAAAGTTGATCTTGACCTTGTACCATTACTAACTAGGAAAACAAACTCTAGTCTTTACTCACAGACCAAATCCCCCCATCCTCCTACCTTGCAAGGGATACTGCCTCTAAGGACCCTCCTGTGATTCAGGAGAAGAGGGAGAACAGATACTAGAGAAGATTCCACATTCATAGAGAACATATTCTTTAACACATGTGAGGCTCCAGGGCAACCTGCAATGACTAGCGACAATGTCTTCTGACATCAACTCAAGTCCACCTCCACCGCTGAACAAGAGCATTGTCTTCTACTGTCCACAAGTAGAACAACACAAGTGTTGTTAGAACTCACTATGAGTCCTTGACTGATAGGTCACACCCACCCACAAGCAAGGTGTGGAGGCTTATAGCCAACTTTCCAGTCAGGTCAACACACACTCAAGTCAGGTCTTCAGCCCAGTTCTTAATCTAGCAGACGAGCAGGCATGAACGGTCAAGCTCCCTCCACAAATCCATTCAGGGGAACTCTGGAAGACGGCTTCTCCACACCCACAATCCAAATGGTGGGAAGCCCTTGAATTGTCCCTCAGAAAGAAAATGATGTCTCTAGTTTCTTTCCAGGAGAATGAAAAGATAATTACAGAAAATGGTAGACACAGACACTCAGGAACAGTAGACTGGGGAGGAGAGGGTGTTAATACTATTCACTGTGTATATACATGCCTGGCAATACCCTGGATAATTTATGAGCATAATTGGACCCAATCAATATAACCCTATGGGAAATTATTATATGATTGATCCCAATTTACACATAAGGAAAACAAGACTCAGCAGGTTAAGGAACAGTCACAAAATTAATAGCTGGTCAGAAGCAGGCTGAGATCTGAACCTAATTAGACTCAGCTCCAAAGCAAGCATCTCTGTCCTGATACAGAGACATGCTTCTACCACCTCCTATTACTGGAACTCAGCCCTGTAAGGCCTGCATGCCCAAAGTACACATGAATCTGTAGGTGCACCTGACTTTACAAACACATACCAATAGCATCTCCTTCCCTCTGTCACCACTAGAATCAAGACAATTAGGAAAATTACAAGAAACAACAAATTTGACCAATATGAATCAAAGGCCTACAGAAGCAATAGTTTCATTTTTACTCCTAGGTTGACAATGTATTTAAATTATATAATTTTAAATAAGAAAAGACATCATTAAAATGTTGTCATGTACTTAAGACTTTACAAGTCTATCTTCAATTACATATAATTTACTTTTTAAAATCATTTTTTTATTTTTTATTTTATTCTATGTGTATGGGCATTTTGTCTGCATGTATATACATACAATGTGCCCACAGGGTCAAAAGGGAGGCATCAGATCCCTGGCATTGGAATTACAGATAGTGTGAGTCACCGTATGAGTACTGGGACTCAACCTGGTTCCTCTAGAACAGTGGTTCTCAATCTTCCTAATGCTGTGATCCTTTAACACAGTTCCTCGTGTTGTGGTGACCTCCAACCACATAATTATTTTCCCTGCTACTTTACAAGTGTAATCTTACTACTATTAAGAATCATAATGTAAACATCTGTGTTTTCCATTGGTCTTAGGTGACCCCTGTGAAAGGGTCATTCAGCCTGGGGTCATGACTCACACATTAAGAACCGCTGCCCTAGAAGCAAGCAAGTGCTCTTAACTATTGAGCCATCTTTCCAGTCTCTTTCTGCTGACTTCCTTAATAAGATGTAAAGTCTAGATACTCCCAAGAATTGAAAACAGAATCTCCCTGGAACAATGCTGCCTGCCCATCTGTTCCTTTGCCAGCATTGAAAGATCTGAGGTTTCTTTATTCTTACTGAGGAAACTGTGTTTCCTCGTGTACATTCAGAAAAAAAATAAAATAAAATAACACAGGAAGACTGCCCACCTCAGAGAAGAACTCATCCATGAAGGCTGTGTTGTCGATGGCAATCTCAACCTCGTCAGTGTCATCATCCTGTGTCAGCTGTTTCTGCAAGAGACCAGAACAGGCCAGAGTGAGAATGACAACACAGTGAACAGCTACCACTATTGATGGGGTTTTAGTTAAGCATGCATAGATAGATGATTGATTGATTGATTGATTGATGATGCCTATATATCTATATTTATATAATTACATATAATTTTATTTAAAATGAATAAAATTGATGTTATAATACTCTGGGGTTGCCTATAATTAAATCTAAACTCTGCCATCTCCTGACTTTGTGCAAGGGAGAAGAAGGGACAAGCAAGTTGTTGGGCCTGGGGTTCCTTAACTGTCCAAAGCTAATAGCACTACTTTATAGAGTTACTTAGGAAATAAATGATATTATCTGGGTAGTGGTGCCTTTAAACCCAGTCCTCAGGAGGCAGAGGCAGATGGATCTCTGAGTTTGAGGCTAGCCTGGTCCACAGAGTGAGTTCTACAAAATCCAGGGATACAAAGAGGAAACCTGTCTCAAAAAAGAAAAAGAAAAAAAAGAAAAGAAAAGAAAGAAAGGAAGAAAGGAAGGAAGAAATGAGATAACAAACATAACACATGTGCACAGGATTGAGTACTCTGTATAGTCAACATTAGGGCCTTGGTTGTTGCTCATCTGTCTTGTTTTCCTTTGTTTTATACTGGGGGTCAACACCTAAGCCTTCACAAGCATTAGTTAATTGCTCTGTCACTGGACTCCATGCCCAGTCTAATCTGGTTACTACTGGTAGTGGCATTCTGTAACTCACTCCAGCTGAAGAACCTAAAACGAAGAAAGTTTAGTAACAGACAGATTCTAACCTCCCATGTGGTTTAAACAAGTTCCAAGTGTTCAACAAACCATGAGCTGCTGATCCTCACAGCTGGAGTAAAGATTTCCCTGTGTTTAGAAACTACCTATTGCAAAGAAAATCATGTTGTTCCCTACCCAAGAGCTGGTGTTTACAAGGAAAAGGAAGTCTCCCTTCCCCTCTCCCCACCTCAGGGAGTGCAAACCTTCTCAACCTCATGCACCTTCCTCAGCAGAATTACAAAATGGCTATCCAGAGGAAATGACTCCATTCCCATCCAGCAACAAAAGCCTGAGCTGTTTGCACATTCTTCCTGATTGCTGTCTCCCCCAGACAAGTGCTACACAGAGGGCACTGCTGACTTCTGAGCACAAAGAACACTGGCTGTTGAGAGTAGAGGAGGGGCAGGGGAACCCCTACACTTGCTTCATCATACTCTTCAATGGCTTATAGCCTTCTACATCCAACTACATCACCCTCAATGGCTCAAAACTCCACAAGCAACGAAAACAGGCCACATCACCGGTTAGCACCCTACAAATCCAAAAAATTCACATAGAAATTTTCAACCACCTGGAAAATCTCTTAAAGGGTTGTCCCGGCATCTCATTTTTCGTCTAGTCTGGGACAGTCAGCATCCCAAGCTTAATAGCTACATTGAAGAGGGGAGCTGAATCTGAGGATCCTCTTACTTATTCCACAACTATCTCCTAAAAAAAACTCAACTAAAGTCTATGGCCATACCACCCTGAACGCGCCCAATCTCATCTGATCTCGGAAGCTAAACAGGATCGGGCCCGGTTACTACTTGGATGGGAAAAACTCAACTAATTATGTCCTCCTGACACAAGGTCATATAATGACAGCTTGTCTCCTAGGACCAAAATCCCTCATCCCAAAAGAACACACAGAACCCTTAAAATCCAGCCACACCCACATTTCTCCCTCAACGCATTCTTGAGATCAACCACTTGAGATTCCTTACATTTCCTAGACACATCACTCCTTTATATGTAACATTTTTCTTTCCATGCTGCCACACAAGGATTCTAACCAAAAACACCATCTGTCCAACTACCAAAATCTTACTCATCTTTAGAATTCACTTCAGACAGCCTGAATCCTGTCTCTCCCATGCAAAATTCAAAACCTCCCTTAAGATCCTGTTGCTCAGTAAAGACCTTCCATAGCAACCACCATGGCCTACTGTCATTAATCTATACTCAGTGACTAGGAAACACCGGAGATTGGGTTTACCATGTGTATCCGTTATAATACGCCCATTGGTGTGTCTGCCTGCCAGCCCAGGGTACCTTCCCTGGAATGCTCTTTCACCCTTCCTACCTGATTTGGAAAGGCAATGGAATTACTCAAGCTCCCTAAGGAATCATAAGGAATCTAAGCTGTGAGAAGAGCCTGAAGGGAATGGAGAAGGCTCCATTCCCTTCAGTGGCAGCACCCTCCTCTCCTGAGCCCCACTTCCCTTGGCAGCAGACAGATTCTGCAGATCTCCCCTTGTAGTCTTTGTTAGCTCAACAGTTCTTTTGCTCCGTTCTCCATTCCCTTCAGTGGCAGCACCCTCCTCTCCTGAGCCCACTTCCCTTGGCAGCAGACAGACTCTGCAGATCTCCCCTTGTAGTCTTTGTTAGCTCAACAGTTCTTTTGCTCATTTAGCCAAAGACAGCCTTCTTACCTGCAATTAAAGTGCAACACCACAATTATTGTAGTTATTTCACTAAGACTTATCCCCATAGGCTCATATATTTGAATGCTTAGACACCAGGGAGTGGCACTATTTGAAAGGATTAGAAGAACTGGGTGTGATTGTTGGAGGAAGTGCTTCACTGGAGGCAGGCTTTGAGATTTCAAAAGCCCATGCCAGGCCCAGTCACTCTGTCTCTCTGTCTCATCTCTGTCTGTGTCTGCCTGTCTCTCTGTCTGTCATCATCCCCCCACACCTACAAATCAGATGTAGAACTCTCAGCTACTTCTCCAGCACCATGTCTGCATGAGTGCTGCCATGCTCCCTGCCATGATGATAATGGACTAACCTCTGAAACTCTAAGCAAGGCCACAATTAATGCTTTCCTTTATAAGAGCTGCCTTGGTCATGATGTCTCTTCACAGCAAAAGAACAGTGACTAAGACACTTGTAATAATTTATTTCATGCTTCCTAAGTATTTAATAGAAATTGAATCACTTCTGGCTGAATGCATTCACATTAGCCTGCAGCCTCAATTCACACATCACTTTCCAAAATTTGAGACAAAATGTTCCATTACTCAAGCACCCTTAAGATCCAAGCCTCTCAGAGGCCTCCATAGGATCTGTTCTGCAGGGAAGACACCTGCACTATTTCCTAGGAAACACAAAGCCGTTCTTTCTCTAGGAAGTTAGATAGTAAGCTTTTGTCAAGAACATCCTTTTTTAAAGGATTTATTTATTAATCTATTTTATGTGTTGGGTGCTTTGCCTGCATGCATGCCTGTGTAACACTTGCACGAACAACACTTGCATGTTGTATCTACTGGTATTGGAGTCAGAAACAGCTGTGAGCCACCATGAGGGTACTCAGAATAGATCCAGGGCCCTCTGTAAGAACAGTATATGAT